GAGGCCCGGAGCGAGCTCCTCGGGGCGGCACAAGCCCCGCAGCACGCTGCCGCCCCCACCCCCACCCTCCCTACAGCTTTCGGCCAAAGGAAAACCTTTCGTTGCACCTCTCCTCCCACTATCAGTGGGGAGTTACGTTTACAGGTCATTTCGACCTGCTGAAAAGAATACTTTCTTCACCCCAAGCTGATGTTGCCTCGTCACCGTGATGCTGTTTGGGAGATCTGGGCATCAGGACTTAGACATAGATCAGCAACTAAAGACCTGATCTTTCCCAACCTTCAGACTTTGCAATGCTCAAGCAAGAGCAAACAGAAGGCTTTCCAACCCTTCTGGCCATTTGAACGAGACATACGCAGCAGAATGATGCTCAGTGTAAAATGTAATGTCACCTGCTATGGACTACTTTAAATACTAATCAAATAGGACATTCTAGTTTCTCTCTTAGCCCCGTGTATAAGGATTCTACTCAAGATACCCAACACTACACGATGCGACAATACACAAAATTACCCTACAGAGCCGATAAAAGTACTAACTTACTCTTAACTTTTCTGTTAGACCTCCATCAAGCATGCCTATGTTCTTAATCAGTCATGGGAAAACAGTAAGCCAAATGCAAGCACATAAAGGGGTAATAATGAATTTGAGATGGACAGTAGCAACCCTCATAAATTAATTGCATTTGAAGCTACCTGAGAGCATAAATTAAACTTCTGAGTACTTTCTCACGTGCCTAAGTCTTTGTGGGGCTTTTATAGATGCCCGATAGAGGGAACTAAGAAGCATATGTGGGATGTCTCCATAAGGCAAGGGAAAGGCTAGAGCAAAGAAAGCAACATACAAAACATTAACATTAAATCAATGCTTTGTGGAGCAATGTCTTATGTTAAATCGAGCTTTATCTTAAATCATATTTAAAAGCTCACACTGTATACAAATCAATATTGATGCCATCTAAAATACAGCACTATCATCTGCACTGATAAATGTCAGTTTCCATCCAGGACAAAGTGACTTCTTGGAAGAATTTCAAGGACTTCCAATCTCTTCTGGCATCTCAGCAACTGAAGCCAAAGCTGTACTCCTCTGCCAGCTTCAGGCTCTGTTCCAGCGCATTAAACCTGGTTCTAGATGCCATTGTGTTAGTCGCACAAGGAGAATAAATGAGGTCACCACAATCATTTTGTCATTGATTTCCAGGCTTTTAGGTTAAGCAGGTTTATATGCTCTTAGAGGATCATACCTTACACACGACACATGTGGGAAGAAGTTACCATCTTAGATAAGAAAGGGACCGAATATTAACATCTGCAGTATTCCAGCCAGTGCAATCATCACACTAATGCCAGTGGAGCCTTCATGGAGCCATTCTGCCTCACGGTCTCCAATGTGCTCCAAGCCTTCACCAAGAAAAGCTGATGGTGTATTGAAGAAATGTAGTTTGGTCTAGAAACACAGCCTACCGTCAGCAAGACTGAAATAACCCAACTGCTGCATCTCATGAAATGCAGCAGTAGCCTATCAAAATGCAGGTATTTGATTTATTCCTCAGAATTCAAACTTCAGCGGAAAAGAATACAAAACAGAACAGTTCCTGCCCGGCCCCGTTTCCACACCCACAAAGAAGCCCAACACAGACTGTGAAGACTCTGCCCTCGAGTTTAGTAGAGGAACACAAGCCTCCTGACAACTCTCTCCTTCTAGCAGCTAACCTTTGCTCAGATAGGCATAACATGCACATTCATGTCATTTACTTGGTTTCTTTGTCTGAAGGCTTTTTGAAAACTGATGTGAAAACCAGCACTATTAAGCAGGGAATAAAGAACTAGGTGCCCTTGATTTTCCCGACAACCTCAAGCTCTGTAATCTGTCTCCCATCACTCTCCTAGCAAAATACTCTGGAAATAAATTGGCACTTTCCTGCAGGCTGGTGCAATTGTGAAACTATAGCTCATACTCATTTATTTCTGCTTTGCTTTGAGTCATTCATTTGGCACTGCAGACTGAGCTATTAAATTATTGTATTTTTTTCCTTTATAAAGGCACCCTGAGATGTCCTCATATGATAATGTTCCCTGAATCGCATATTATTTGATAACTGTTTCTTAGTTTTTTCATCAGAGATCTTAGGTCATGCTCAGTTAGCACTGAGGCAAGACACGTGAGGAGTGTTCCACCTTTCCATGTTGTCAGAACATTCATAAATGAACAATGAGAAATATTTTTATAGAAAGTCCTCCTAGAACGTTGTGATTGAAACCTCATTCTTGACAGGTTCAGGACTTAAGAATTTGTCCTGAACCTTAAGGTTATTTGTTGTAGAGTCTCAGAAATCTGAAGTAATATTGCTTATCACTTTAGAAAAAATGAGTTAAAAAAGACCCACAGTTAACTTAGTAACACTTCATTCTACTTTGTGATCAAATTGTCAAGTCTTTCATACAGTTACATCTAGGACTGCACTGAATAGATATTCTTTCCAAGGTAGATGCTAATGGTAAAGGGACAGGTCATATTTTGATCCTGACAATCACAAATGATTTATCTGCATGGCAGACTTGATTCAAGCTATTGTTTACAGGTTTGTAAGACATATGGGTTTTATTTCCTATTCTTCTACCCGATACCTTCTTCTCTGCTTGTTATGTACAGCTACCGTTTAAACTGTCCAGCAATCCACAGCACCTATTTCATTTTGGCCCTGCTTAAATCACTGAAAGAGCATAAGAATAGCATGTTTTCCTAGAGCGCTCATCCGAAAGTGCTATTACCTGGTCAGAAAGCCTTGTTATCATAAGAAAGCAGCGCACCAATTCTGAGCGATCTTCTACATCACAGCACCTGGAGAAGGAACGAAGAAGATGTTTCTTTCACATTAGGAGAAAATAAAAACCAAATCTGCCTGTTGTGGAGAAAGAATGGCAGCAGCTGCCTGGATCTCAAGAAGTTTAAGCAAGGGGCTCAACATTGTCCTATACGTAGCTTTCCTGGCAAACCAAGAGTCTTGTGAAAACTGTGAGAAAGGACTGGCAAAAGCAGTGGAGATGTTGTGACAGGGAAAGCAGAATAACAGATCATGGGCCTGGGTAGACCAGGAAGAGCCAAAATCCTTTGGAGACCTGACAGAGCGATCCCTTCTGTGCTCCAGGCTGCCACTGGGACCGAATGTAAACCTCTGGCACTGACAATGCACACCAGCCGCATGCGATACAACCCACAAGCCATGATGTGCAAGCTGCAGAGCACCCAGTGGAGCTATGCCGTTGGCTTTCCATCACCACAGGAATATCCCCAGGCTAGTATCAGAGAGAGCAGCCATGCTGATGACTAACGATTATCTCATTTGCACAGACAATTTTTTTTGCTTGGAACCATACTACAAAATAATCTCAACAGTTGCAACTCGCAGGCACCTTGGCATCAAGGCTCAATATTCATTCTGTTACTCAAGAGGCATTAATTTCCCTGAGGTATTAACAGGCATTAATATGATAAATCTCTCCACATCAGTATGATCTGTAAAGTTCTTCCTAACTTGGAAGACCAGATTTTTCTAGCTTTTAAACAAACATTTTGAATCTGCCTGGAAACATTATGAACACACGCATGCAGGTTCACACCCCCCCATCAGAATTTGAGTGGTAGGGGGTAGATATTTTTCCAGAAGTTACAGTACAACTATTTAGAGAAATGTATTGAAATTGGCAGCTGATAAATTAAAACCAGCTAACAAAATATAAAACATCCTTTGTTGACTTCTCCATGTCCATTGCCAGTAGATAATATACTATAATGATAGTAATGTTAAAAAGATTATTTTCATCCTTGGTTCTTAGAATTTGGTGTTGCATATAATAGCTCACCTGAGACTTAAGAAACCTGGATTCCTTACTCATTCATAAAGGATTTACAGCTCAAGCTATCACCAAGGCAAGCCTCCTGCTCACCGCCCAGCTGAAGTATCCCCATAGTGAGCTGGGGGAGGTGAACGTGTTAGAGAATGATTCTGTTCAGCGTACACTCAGGTCTGCCCACCATGTGTCACAACTCACCAGAACCTTTTCTGAAGTGTATACATGACCCTAAAAAATACTGCATTATCAACGCTAACAAAAAATGATAACAGCCAAACAGAGCTGTGATACTTCCTTAAATGCCCAGCAAATATTTGTGAATCTCAGCTTTCATTATATTTCTTCCTTAAACAGTACATTCGGTTGCAGAGAAGTTGACAGTGAAGTGGAAAACATGATCACAGCATACCCTAGGGGTTTCAAACATGTAAAAAAAAATCTAAGAAGTTTCAAATGTGGTAAGTTTTAATACACAAAAATATAGGGAAACCAACTCAAAACATATAAATGCTTGGGGTTCAATATGAAACATAATTCAATTAACCTGACAAAACCGTGTTATCTCCATTGAGCAGTATAAAATCTGAGTTGTTTTAAGTTCAACAATGAAGCCCTGAAATCTTTTCAGCTTTACCTTTGCCACATCGCTACTGGGAAGAGGCCTCACTCTCCTTGCACAGATGTCTGTGTACACAGGAACTAAGAGAGCCTTCCCAGCCATGGGAAGGCTGCGCTTCTTCCAGGCAATTTCTGCAGCCCACAGTACGATTTGTTACATGCCATGGTGCCATTGGCAGCATCGTCCACAGCCACAGAGGGGGTTCTGCCAGAGTCAGCAGTCTTCAGTCCTTATAGAATATGAAGGTGAGAACCAGGTGGTTAGAAAAGCATGGTCGCTGCTGGCCCACCGCCCTACAGAGCTCCCATACAGATAGGAACCCAAAAACCCATAGCAGAGTTTCTACAGTGCGCAGGTCCAAGGCAGGTAACGTTCCTGTTGGAGCAATTCCTCCATCATCATCCCATTTCAATCCTCCCCATTGTCCTGCTTACCATCCAACAGAGCAGAGGAACTGAACTGATGTGGCCCTTCCCAAAAACTTCTCTCTGACCTTGCTGGTGCTTAAGGTAGCTAAGGTCTGTTGTGGTGTAGGATACTTACATGCGAAACCAGATTTACAAACCAGACATGAACTCTCAAATCTTTCTGTCCTCCACCAAAGTCGTCACTGGTAGCAAAAGCATTAGACCTTGATACCCCAATGAATGATCTAGTCCCAGAAGTAATCACAGCAAAGTGCCTACATCTCATTTGTGACACAACAGCTTTATGGTAATAGCAGGCAAGTTCTTCAGCTGATGTACACTTTCACAGGTTCAGAATGGAGCTATGACAACTTATAATACCTGGGGATTTGCTCCTATAGCATAAGGGGAAACAGTGACCTGATTGTTTTTAGTGTCCTAAATTATCAAGTTGAATTCTGACAGGGAAGAGCTGACAAACTCGTGATCATTATTCAGTTATGAACATAAGCATGAAAGCACACTAAGGTTAATGAAGAGAAGATCACATTCAGTAGAATAAAAATTAATTTGGTCACTATAGGAATTAGTATAAAAATATCAGATTCAGGACTTACAAGGGACTTCACCCTTAAGTTAACCTGTATTGGGTTAAATGATCTACATAACCTGATTTACATTCAGCACCATATGTTACAAAATTGTAATGATTTGAGATCAGGAAATATGATCCTAGGCTAGTTTAAGAGATCTGCATTCACACTAAAACGTATCTTTAAATATATGGTACTATGGTCGTAAAAGAAAGCACTCAGATAGTCAGGGCACGCATCTTCATTCACGCCATGGTTTATAGAGTCACATTGGCCCCTGCATTCTATCGATCTAACAGGATATGTTTTTCTATTACACATATACACACTCTCTGCATTTAAAGAACATCACATTAAAAATGAAATCAAGAGCTTGCCTGTGAGGAAATGTGAGAAGGGAGTCTGGCCTATACATTTTTTATTTGGTCACTAATATGCCTTTTAAGTCTTATTCAGAAACAGTTAGAAGTCAGTGTCAGCAGTATTATTGGAGCGTGTAGATTCCTGGGGTCCAGGAATCAACAATTTAACCAGTAATGATTTAAATAACACACCTGCAACTAATATAAGCCTCTGCTCTGTTCATCCTGTGCATTGAGTAAGGCTAGAGTCCTGTAAATGCAAGAATATGCAATAGCACATACTCTCAAATACGCTGCACAAAGGAGATGAATTCACATTGAAAATGTAAACTTTAGGTTTACTTAATTTGGTGTGCTTAATATTATAATACTGTCTCTGAATATAAACTTTTCCAGTACGTCATTTCCTAAAATCTTTTTTAAATCAAATTTCAGAAATGCATCATATGGAGCCACAGAGTACTGCATAAGTTGCCACAGAAGTTTAAATGGCTGAAAACAGCCATTGCAAAAGAAAATTGCAGTCTGTTAGACCAGTTACTATAGGTAGATAGGATATATTACACTTATACAAGATGCCAAGCACATGGGTATAGCTTGTTTTTTCTAAAAGAACGAACAAGCAAAATATCACCATGTGGCAGTGACTGATGAGACAGGAACTAAGCACGACACAAACTTGTGGTCTGTTTTAAGGTGGGCCAAAAGATTCATGCTTGCCCTTTACCTTTGGAATTTGATCATAATATGAGCTTTAGAAGGACCAGAAAGTTCTCAAAATCATTATGACCAATAAAAGGAGATGCGGATGCCAAGTCATGGCCAGCCCAGTAGAGATTCACCCTGAGACAAGAGGTCCCTGACCTTCCAACATCCTGCAAAGCCTTTGTAGGCTTTGTAGGGCCGAGAGCACATTATGGACAAATGGAGCATTCTGGGATTTTAGCAGAAAGTCTTCAGAGGTTTACACAAGCAGATGGGGGTTGACTTTCTTGGACATGGGAAAAATCCAGCCCTCTTTTCCCCAAGCTCCCTATTCAAACTGTCAGAGTCACTACAGCTTTTCAAGGAGTATAAACTGAAAGTGCATTTCCCACGATTTCTTTCAAAAAATACATGTTTACTTATGTACTAGCACAAAACATAGTATAAATTATATTTTGGGGGGAGGAGACTACGCACAACTGTAACAGAGACCCTATCTAGCACTAGGCTCCAGCTGCAGCTGCTGCAATACAAATAGCAACAACAGTGCAATGTAACTTTAAACTTCTATCCCTTCCTATTATACACATACTAGAAAAATATTATAAAATTATAAATGACTTTTTGTCTTGGAATTACAACCGGAATTTAGTTACTAACAACAGTTTACTATTTATTCTGTTATTTGTTTTCAGATAGAAGGAAGTATTTCTGTTTCAGTGGCTATGCCTACCTTTGCACACATAATGTGTAATTCAGAAATAATGTAAAACTTAAGAAGTTCATTTCTACTATTCCTCTGTGCCTTGACTTCCATGAACTTAAAGAGTAGGAATCAGAGCCCAGGGGAGAAAGAAAAGAGGATGCCTAAAGCAGATAACTAAAAGTAGGTTACTGTTGTATTCTCAATTTATGCATATTACAAGATGAGATGACAGTCATGTATGCCTCCTATCATCAATGGCAATGCAGTTTATTTTTTAAGTTGCATAGTCAGTTCAGCTAGTTAAATTCTGTTGCTATTTGGGCTGTACAGCTTCCTGTATTTTAGCTCAGTGAAACTTGTCTTGCTTGGAATTTCTCTGAAGCTGTATAAATAGAGAAAACAGTTTCTTGTTTCTAACTAGCAACCACTTGGTAACTCAAAGTAATTCAACACTGCTGTTTCCGTTTTGTTAGCAGGTACAGTAACATTCAACTAAAACTAAGAGCTCAGTAAATCCAAACTCAGCACTTTCTGAAGACTTTCTGCTAAAATCCCAGAGTGGTCCGTAATGTGTTCTCGGCTCTACAGAGCCTTAGGGCCATGCAGGATGTTAGAGGGTCGAGGACTTCTCGTCTCAGGGTGAATCTCTCCTGGGCTGCCCATGCAAGTGGTGTTTGATGATGGGTAGTAGTTGTGGAGCAGGCACACCCGCTTACTCTTAAAAGAGAACATTTTGGAATACTGACTATTGCCCTCCAGAATCCAATAAACAGAAATCATGCTAATGGGCAAACAGATATGATTTGAAATGATCTTTTATTCCATTATACTTATTGCACTGGAATGTGACTCAGGTAAGACCTGGAAGAAACTGGTTTGACTGACCCAGGTAAACAAAAAGCAGATCAATCAACGCTCTATCAACATGCAATCAACATTTTACAGATCCAATATTTCTAAGTTAACCCAGACCTTTTCAGCCCTCCTATAATACATCTCATGTAAGCTGGGCACAGCTGGTCTCTGCACCAATAAATCAGCTGCTGAAGGAGTAACAAAATATATACAGCTAAGATGGAGAGAGGATAAAAGATCGTGATTGAAAGAGAAACTGTGCAGTGAACCTAAGAAGTCTCTTTAGAGACTCTTGACATGTTTCATCAACACGTACCTAGGAAGTACTCCCGTGGGGAAGGTAGCTTATGTCTTAATTTTTTTTATGTTGGTTCCTCAGTTAATACTTTGCATAGGGCATCGCTGAATGAAAGGCATGTCTTGTTTATAAAAAAGCTGCATCCTCCTTCAACCAGTGATGATGGAGACTGTAAGAAATAAAACCCAGAACAGAGAATTGTAGAGATGATGAAATACAGGATGTTGATTTCTGCAGCCAAGAGTGCTGGAAGAAGAATGCAGCCTGTTTCAATTCAGCCCTATGTCATACTGGCAGGCGGGGTCTCCTAAGGATGCACCAAATTCATAGGGCTAGGCAAACAACCTAAAGGGGTAAGGGTAATCTTTTTGATTTGATACCCTGTATAATATTAAGAACCTGTATGTTATTCTGAGGGAAATTTTAATTGGCTTCTGCTGACCACAACACCTGCTCTATTGGGAAAGTATTGTAGAGGGGGTGCACTTTTTTCTTCTTTTCTTTTTTCAAGGGGTACTGTACACCTACATTGAAAAGATGTTCGGCAGCATGCCAAATTAAACAAACAATTATGTATTGATGGTGCACAAAAAAATTGCCTGCCTAAAAAAAAGTACACCTACCTTCCTGTGCCATTGGCCAGAAAACAGAAAAGCACTGGCTAAGTGCACCTAAGCACCTGCAACTGGTTTGATATGGTCTTCTAAGAAGCTAGATGGGAGACTGCGTATCTTGAATCTACTTTTGTTATTTTGCATACCTGACACAATAATACTTGACAAGTGTCCACAGGTATTAGAACATGAGATTAAGCAGTTTACAGTGAAGTACAAGATCAGACATTAAACTGACAGTTGTCAGTACCCACAGTCTAAGAGGTTAGCAGAAAACAGTGCTAGAATAATGAAGCATTCACAAAAAAGGGCTGCAGAATAATCTTCAGCAAGTAAACTGCACTAAAGAAACACAGGTTGTCACCTGCTGACATTTTGTTCAACAGAAAAACTGAAAACAAGAATGCCTGCTGTTAGAACTAATTTCCAAGTCACTGGGGACTTGCAGAAATTTAAACAGAAAATGACAAGATGCTCCAGCACAATCCAACTGGAACCACAGTATCAGAGCTTGAAGTTCATAATACTCAGCACTGATGAGCATCTACCAGGTTCTTCTACGCTATTAAACAAAAAAAAATCCACAAAATAACAAACAAAAAATCATCTTAAAGGACTTACTGCCTTAGATTTCAAGGGTTTGACATCACCTGATGGTGTCCCAGAGATACTGAATCTGTTGGTGTTAT